AGACTGCAATCATCATCCTCATGTTGACCTGGCTTTCTCCTTGAAATGACCACTTCAGTTCACAGCTCCATCACCTAGCCAGTTGTCACTGCTGGAAACTAGGACAGCAGCCTAGGTTGTTCTCTTTCCTTCACCTGTCAGCATCTGCCAGTCATCCTCCTGCCCAGTTTACCCACACAGAGTCCTTAAGTCTGTTGTTTTTCTTTATCCTGACTGCCACTGCATTGGTTTCAACACTGTTCATCTTTCTGTGGACTATTACTGTGACCATTTAACGCTTCTATTTCTGTTTGTCATCTCCTCAAATCCATTGTGCAGACTCCAACCAGTTTGATATAATGGACTGATTGTATCATTCATTTCCTTAACTTCTATGACTTCCAGTTGTCTATAGGGTTAACCTCATTTCTTAGCATAGCAAAGACGTCCAGGATCGGGCCTCCCCTAACACTTTTACATAATAACCAAATAATCTTCAAGGACCTTTACCTTTGCTCAGGCTATACCTGTCCCTGATAAGCTTTTTCTCTTCTCTTCACCTGGCTGACTTTTATATATCCTTTAATACTGAATTGTTACCTACTCAAGAATCCTTCCTTCATCATTAATGAGAGTGCTGCTCTCATCAGTCCATGTGTTACCCTAGGTACCTCTATAAACTACTGTGTTTATGTCTGTCACTAGATTTGTGCACCTGAAAGGCAGAGACTAGATCTAATGTATTAATTACTACTAGTTCTTAGTATGGTGTCCGGCATATAGTAGATAATAAAGATTTGTTGACTATGTTGAACTATTTAGTAAACCAAGTGTTATAAAAGAAGTATAAGAACTATAAGAAAGTATCATGGAAGAGAGTCATTAATTGCAAATGAGAAGATCAACAAAGGCTCTATGTAAAATTTAGTAATTGAGTTGCACCTTGAAAGAGGTCCATAACCAGGCTAGGTGCAGTGGCTCATGTCTGTAATCCCAGCACTTTGGGAGGCCAAGGCGGGCAAATCACCTAAGGTCAGGAGTTCAAGACCAGCCTGGCCAACATGGTGAAACTCTGTCTCTACTAAAAGAACAAAAAAAGAAGCCAGGCATGGTGGTGGGCACCTGTAATCTCAGCTATTCAGGAGGCTAAGGCAGGAGAATCACTTGAACCCAGGAGGTGTAGGTTGCAGTGAGCCGAGATGGCACCACTGCACTCCAGCCTGGGCAACAGAGCAAGACTCTGTCTCAAAAAA